ACAACCGCAAATCACAAAGAAAGCTAGCTTATAAATAAGAATCAAAAAGCTATAAAAAATTCCCAAATATCCAGCTTCAATGTGAAGCACATAACTCTCACATCAAAAGTTGTTTTGAAATTATGAATGGTCAAAAGTTAGACGTGCGTGTTATAAACCCACCCTCCAAATTTGAGCATGGTTTGATGGTTAACAAATTAGGAATCGTCGATTTAGTGAGACTAGTTGCAGAAAAACGAGAATGAGTTTCTCTACGTTTTTGTCTCTTTTGAATCCTTATTTTCTCTCTACCTCTCTCAACCCTAAATTGATCTTTTCCACTTAAATAAGTGAGACAAATGGGATAATCATATTTGAGTTTTTCTCCACAAACCCAACAACATGTATGGTCATCATTATGAAATGACGGCTAGGTCAAAAAAACTCTTGAAAAGGTATGGCTGATAAATGTTTTATCGGGCTTCAGCCGCCAATTTTACTTGATATAAGTACAATAATATAAATCTTGCATGTGATATTCTAGGCAAGAGGTCATGTGTATGTGAATTGTAAAGAATGTGATGATTTAACCTAGCCCTTGATGTAGATATATATAACCCTATTTTTATCGGGCTAGGTCAATTCCACTAGCGGAGACCCCGTTTAAAGCCCTATTTATTTTTATGCACTAAGAAAATAAAAGAATGACTTAGATATAATTTTTTGCACTTAAAACTTGTAATTTTCGCGTGTATTTTATGTCTAACAAATGTCTCTATTTATAGACAGATTTGTACCAATTGATAAGGAGAAATAATGTTTCAATGATTTTAAAATGCCGATTCTTGAGCTTGAACAATTATATATTAATAACAGTCAGAATTATTATGAAATAACATCTTGCCTGGTTGACAGGCGCCACTCCATCATAAGGGGGTTGCGAATTCATAAGATCTTAGTATGTGTGTGTTGATATAAGATCTTAGTATATTTCTTGTATTTATGTTATTAGTATAGGAATAAATTAATGGGTATGTAATGGTATGGAGTTTATCGATGTGACTACTCATAGTTTCTCTTTTAGGTGCAATGAAGCGTGCTTGTAGTTTTTGATTTCAACATGAAGTATGTATTATTTACTTATATTTTGTCTTGTGCAAGCTACAATATGTTTGGGACTTTAGAGTAACGCATTTGTTTTAATTTTGTTTACACATGATTCATCACTCCTTGATCAATGCATGTTGTTTTCCCTCAAACTCAATTTAAAATTAAGGTTAATCAAGGTTATAGTTTATATTACTATTTTTTTTAATAAGCACTGAATTTAACACAAAAGAGTAGAAGAGGTACTCAAAAACCTTACAAGCGACTATGACGGAAAATTACTTTCGTTTGATACAACAAATTGGAGACGCAAACCACTCATAAAAAGAACAAGAGTGGGCCAAAAAACAGTTAGAACTGAACCACCTCAAAGATAAAAACTTAATGGAGTTAACATAATCTATAACACTATAAGGAACATCTCTAGAAATAAAATTATTTCTACTCCTCCAAATGTACCAAAACGTAAATGCCCAAATAATGTTACCAAGATCATTATCGGTTTCCTTCTTCGAACTTCTATCAAAACGGACAAAAGAGGTTGCGCAGTTCAGGCGCCTCACGACTTCTATGCTTAAGCAATTCTTCACAGCTCTCCAAACTCTAACTGCGGAAAAATAATCCATAAAAAGATGGAGAGATGATTTGACTGAGTCACCACACCCTATGCAAAACAAACTAGAACTGCCATAGTTGATGCCTCTCTTATCCAATTGTTCTCTCGTTGTCAATATGTCCCAAAAAAGTCTCCATAAAAACACATGCACTTTGGAAGGTATATTCGATTTCCACAAAATCTTCAACGTTGTTTTTATTCCACTATCCAAAGTTGGATTCGATCCAATCTGTATTAATAAATTGTAACAAGAGCAGACAGAAAAAATGTTATCATCCTCTAATATCCAAGACATTCTGTTTGTCTTGTGAGGCACAATGACCATTTGAGATAGAAGCTGAAGAAGCTCTTCTAATTCACAATGCAACTCCGAACCAGGAAAAGAATAGGGAAGATAAGAGTTCCAGTGCTAAATATAGTCTCTACAAACACCCATATCTGCCACAGAACCATGCTAAAACGAGCTGAAAATGAAACACAGTGGTAATGCTTCCTTGAGAGGACGATTACCTAACCAACAATAGAACCATAACAACAAAGAAGGACCATTGCCCAAGGACCTTCTGACTGCGTCTGAAAAAAGATCCATAGACTTACTTACCTTTATCGAACCCAATCGCCATAAAGTCACGTCAATAAATGGAATGTGTTTTTCGACCACCAAAACCATCGTTGAACAACACAGCCAAACCAAGATTACGAAACTGAAGCGCATACCTATATTTGAGAATGCCTTTCCAAAGAGCTCCTTCATCCGAAATGAATCTCCACATCCATTTTAACAAAAGAGATTTGTTGAAAGTGGCTAAGTCCTTGATCCCAAGATCGCCTAGATCTTTCGATAAACAGGCCCACTTACAAAATATTTTTCATAAAATTTTGTTCTTTTAATTTTTTAGAGAATCTTTAGGACATTCATCAAATTTTTATTTATTATTTTTTCAAATAGTTTTATATTTAGAGTTTTCCATTATTTTTATTTTGTTTAGTAACATAGACTCAATTATAAATCAGTAAAACGTTTAAAAACTTCATTATAAATTATTCTAAAGTTTAGAAATTCGAATAAAAAATGTAGAAAGCCCATTAAAATATTAACAATTTGTGAACTCTTAGTAAACATAATGAAAACAACTTGTGAACTCAATTATAATTTTTTAAGTAAAAAAGCTAGGGTTAATACACCTTTTGCCCCATGCTATTTGGAGCGATTTTGAAGACCCTGTAAAAAAAAATTACAAATTTCGTCTTTGCCATTTGAAGATTCATTCATTTTGCCCTCTCAGGGGACACAGTCAGCAGAATCTGTGACTAGGGATGGCAAAACAGGTTAGGCCCATCGGGTCCGTCCATTTAACCCACCACTTTTGGTGGAACGTTACGAGGTTTTCGGCTCGGTGTCTTAAGTTGACCCGCCCCGCCTAACCCACTTTTAAAACGGGCCGAGGGCAGGGTGGGACGGGTTTTGCCCACAGACTTTTTGTTTTAAATTTTTTTTTACTTGGAATTAAAACAATATTAATGTGGTATGTAGTAGACATACTTTTAAAACAACCCTCATTTCTTCAAACCTAATATTCATTTTTCACATAACCACAAACACCTCATTTTAAAGACATTAATTGATATGTACTTCGTTTTTTATTTTCACTCATAGTAGGAAAAGTCTTTATTGCAAAACATAGAGAATACGTTTTTTTTTTCTATTTTCTATTACTCGTTGTCATTGGAGCCGAGTTCTAAAGTCATAAGTTAAATTTAGCACTGAGATTTTTGTTTCTCATTATTGTAATAAATGTTTTATTTTTAGGATTTTAGTGTGTTTGTTTTAAGTTTTTAGTATTATAGTTACATTGTTTGTTTATGTCAAAAAATATGACATTTATATTAAGATTTGTTAAAGTTTTCCTATGCGTGTTGAACCTATGAAATTGGTCATACAAAAATCACCCATTTCAACTTGTCTACTTAGTTTTATAATTTAATTGTATGCGTCAAATATATATATTACAACATTTCATTAAAAACTATTAATTAATAAAATAAATTGTTTAAATAAATACTATTAATAAATAAATGGTTTAAATAAATACTATTAACACTTAAATACATATTAATTTCTAATTTTTTTCTTATTTTCATTACATTAAGCATAATACAAATATTTGTATAAAGTTTAATATTACATAAAGATTAATACAAATATTAGTAATTAATAATAAATTAAAATTAATATTAGTAATTAATAATAAACTGAAATTAATAGTTTTTAATAATAAAAATATTAATAAACTGAAATAATATTTTTTGATAAAAATATTAATAAACTGAAATAATAGTTTTTAATAAAAATATTGATAAACTGAAAGTAATAGTTTTTAATATTAGTAATTAATAATAAACTGAAATTAATATTTTTTGAAATTAATTTTTAATAATAAAAATATTAATAAACTGGAAATAATAGTTTTTAATAAAAATATTTATAAACTGAAAGTAATAGTTTTTAATATTAGTAATTAATAACAAACTGAAATTAGTAATTTTTAAAATTAGTTTTTAATAATAAAAATATTAATAAATTGGAAATAAAAGTTTTTAATAAAAATATTAATAAACTGAAAGTAATAGTTTTTAATATTAGTAATTAATAATAAACTGAAATTAATAGTTTTTAAAATCAGTTTTTAATAATAAGATATTAATAAACTGAAAGTAATAGTTTTTAATATTAGTATTTAATAATAAATTGAAAGTGTAATTTAAAAATAAATAATTTCATCAAATTTTATATATTTGATCCAAGCATTTACACAGCATAACAATTCAATCCAGCGGATTGAAGAGGTGTTTGCAAGCAATAGGTATAATGGTTCAACATTCATTAGCATCCATTTTTAAAAAATAAATAATATTTTACAGTATCTTTTTTAAAATCGCATGTATTAACCCAAAAAACTATTACAAATTTTTAAATCATTTAGAAACAAATAGAAGAGAAAGTCTAATACTTATTTTAAAATATAAAAAAAAAAAAAAAAGTCCAATAGAGCAACATGTCACTTATTATTTATTTATTTTTTTGAGATGTGACAAAACTAAGGTTGACATTCATAAAGTCAAGACAATGAACTAGAATTAAATAATGGTTATAGTAAAGCACACTCTTTTCCTTGATCATATAATGAATTATTTAAATTTCATCCAAGTAGGGAATATCTAGTATATAAATATGGATATACATTTACATATGTTATATATAAAGCAAAAAGTGAATATTGAGTTAGAGAGGAAGATAATGAAAGAAAGAAACAAAGGGCATGTTCCATTGGTAGTAGGAAAAGGGAAAGAAAAAGACATGGAAAGGATTTGGGTGAGCATCAAAGGGATTCATCATCCCAAAATTGTTGACTTGTTAGAACAATCAGCTAAAGAGTATGGATACAAGCAGCAAGGTGTTCTTAGAATCAGATGTGATGTTGACAACTTCAAAGCCATTATACAAAGTGATGAGATCAATTTGGAGCTAGTGGATGAATTCTTTTCGTTAAGTAATTTTAATTTCTTTTTAAGAAATTTCATTCTTTAGGTTTTTTGTATTCTAAAAATAATATTGTTCAAGATATGTTTTTGTTTACTACATGTTATGTGAGAATATCCCTTTTTAAGACTCCAACATTTAAGTACATAAAACATGTTTTTGTTTATTACATGTTATGTGAGAATATCCCTTTTAGAAATATCCACATCCCTTGAAAAGACAATCAAATTGTTAATTCAAAGTTTGTCTTAATACTTCTTCTTCTAATCTAAAACTCATGGTGCATTCTTTTTGACTTTTTTTTTTTTTTTTTTACTTTAACTTTATAATAAATACAAAACTTACATTTATATGATACTTTTGGCAAATACATTTTTTTTCTCAAAAAATTGACTTTAGTGTCAAAATTGTAATATTTTTCATCATTATCTAAAAAGACTAAAACAAAAAACCAATCACTTTTAAACAAAAACATAAATATGATACACAATAATGAAAATGTTTCATGCACACCTAATTTTAAAATAATCTAAGGATTTCTAATTAATTGGAAAGATTTTTTACATCAGACGAAAAACACATTTTACATCAGATCTGCATTCGATATAAAATCAAACGATGTAGAAATCAAAAATATTTTACATCGGACAAATGTCCGATGTAAAAAATACACTTACTATATCGATTGACTCTTACATTTGATGTGAAATATAGGTTTAACTTTATTTATTTTTTAAATAAATGCACATTAACATTGGTTGTCTTTTTGTCTCGATGTAAAATGTAGGTTGTTACATTGGTTGTCTTTCTGACCCGATGTAAAATATAGGTTTTTACATCGGTTGCAAGGCGCGTCCGATGTAATATGTATGCTATCTTTCTTAAAAAATTAGACTATTTTTAGCGGAATCGAAGTGGAACTCCTGTAATTTTTTTTGGTACCTAATTTTTCATATTTTTTCAACATCACACAGACCACATTTAAGTCGCTATTTGGTATCTATATTTTCATATTTTTCTAACCAACCTCTTAATTTCATTGCACCAAATAACTAGGATGCACATATTCTTCAAAATGAACAATTGATTTACAAAAGTACTAATCTAGGATACACACATGTGTATAAAATTATAAGTATATTTACAAGGTGGACTACTACAACAACAAAATCAGTGAACACATACTAAAATATCCAACCATTTATAAATCATTTCCCACACTTGAATTACCAACATGCAATCGACAAGAAGATGAGTTGTAGCTTCAGTAGACAACACCAAAATCACATTTGCTGACAATAAATGATAACACCAAAATGCTCGGTTTCTGAAGCAATTGACAATAAATACCATCAGTTAGTAGAACCTATAGGAATTGATACAAAAATAGCATTAAAAACCGACATATATTACTACTTACTCAATTCACCCTTCTCATCAATAGCCTCTCCTATAACATTCATGATACGGCCAAGGGTTGCCCTACCGACAGGAACCTGAATGGAACACACAAGTTAATTGTAAAATATTAAAGTAGCTAATTGCTAGTGACAAACAGACCAATACACTAAAACACAATAAAACCATGATAGGTAAATCCATGATGAAAAAAAATAAAGTCTAAATGAAGGGAGTAATTGAGCAATAAGACCAAAAAACATCTAACGCATGTACTATGTTTTCATATGTATGTACACAAGATTTGTTCGCAAAATGTAAACAGAACATTATTACTCAAACCAAACAGGCATGAACGTTACTTTCAATGAATACAACAATTTGACAGCAAAAATGGGTAACAAAGACCACAAGTTTAGAAAACCAATATCAACACTGTCTAATTAATAACATGATGCAGATTGAGAACACTAAATCCATTTCTAGCAAACTACCACAAAATAAGAAACAAAATCAATTACTTAAAAAACCAATAAAACTATATCAATTCCATTTAGGCAAAAAAAACACATATGGATCCACAAAATGCAACATATATAGTGAGTCATATCTAATCCAAAAATTAGATATAACAATCAGTAAAGCCTATATAAAGTCAAAAAAATCTGAAACTTTAGCGAATAATTCAATCAATTAAAAGGTACGCGATTGGATATTTACACTGATAGGGGATCTAGTGTTGAGCACACGCCACCCTCTAACAACACCTTCAGTAGCATCCATAACAATAGTTCTGACGACGCCCTCTCCCAAATGTTGAGCAACTGCCAACACCAACCGCGTTTCATGATCCAAAAGCTCAAGAGCAGTCAAGATCGGAGGCAAATCCTCTTCAAATCAGACATCGTCGACGGCACCAATAACCTGACAAACATGTCCGATGGCACCCTTCATAATGAATTCATCAGTGATTTTACCACCTTCGGGAACCTTCTTTTTCACTGGAGGCAGAGACGGAGGCGAAATGGTGGTGAATTGGATTTCTAGAGTGTGATTCGCGACAGGTGAGTTGGAGTTATGGATGATTTACAGCGTGTGGTGGCTGATTCGAAAATGATGGTGGAGGAATGATTTACGGTGGGAGAAGAAGATGAACAAGGTGGTTGTGATGTGTTTTGTGATGGAGATGAAGATTTGAGATAGCAGTTGCTAGAGTTTTAGTGAGGCATGAGGAAACAAAAAGAAATGATATTTGGATTTGTAAGTGAAAATTGACTTTTCATATCGGTTGCTACTAGACACAATGTAAAGGCCCACGTTTTACCTCGAGTTCAAATCAAGGACCGATGTGAAATACTTTATAACAAAACTTCATATTATTTACAAAATTGTCACCTTGTTATTTTTTTCATCAGATGACTTAATAACATCGGTGAAAAGTCAGACCCGGTGTTAAATCCTTTATAACAAAACTTAATATTATTTAAGAAACTGCCACCGTATTATTTTTCACATCAGTAAAAATATATGTCTAATCTAAAATCCCTAAATCAAATATTTTTCACTTCAAATTGTTATGTAACCTGATGTATAATTCTTTGACGAATTGTTATGTTAACCAAATGTCTTATTTTTAGTAGTGCATGTAAAAATAAGATGAATAATGAATTATGTTGATTTAATTAATTCATGTTAAAAGAATATATAATTTATTCAGATAGTTGAATTAAATTAATCACATACTCAACTCGTTAACCATTTTTAAAGTAATTTATTATTAGTGCGTGAGATTTTTCTTCCGAGGAGAAAAAGAATGGGAGAGAATGGAAATAAGGATTGATATTTATTGAATGAGATTGTACTTATTGAATTACAAAATATCTATTTATATACATCTAAGTGACTTGACTACTAAGTAACAAATATGAAAAACTCTAAACCCTGATTATCTTTGGGTTTGAGCCACACACAACTTGGATTATATTAACTTATATCTCAACATACCCCCTTATAATCCAAGTTATCAAAAAAAAACATTAATTATAGTCGATCTGAACTATTCCTATTTTCTTTCTCAAATTCAGGAATTTGTCAATCTCCAATCCTTTGATGAAATAGTCCAAGCAATTGTGCTTCACTTGAGCAATGCCTTACTTCAAGTTCACCTCGATTTACCTTCCCCCTTAAGAAGTGAAATCTAGTTTCGATGTGCTTACTCCTTCCATGCAAAACTGGATTCTTCTTAAGATTTATGTCTGACTTGTTGTCGATCTCCGGCACCAGAGGTTTCTTCACTTCGACCTTAATCTTTTCTAGCATAGATCTGATCCAGATTACTTGAGACGCATCATAGGATCCTGCTATATATTCAGCCTCACATAATGACAATTCTACCACAGTTGCTTTCTCGAGCACCATGAGATTAGGGCGCCAAATACTTGAAAGAAATAACCAATAGTGCTTCTTCGTTCTTCCTTATATTTTCACCATCAAAATCTGAATAGCAAGTAACCATATATTATTTGCTTTTAGAGTCTTGTTGAAATAGAATTCTATAGTTTATCGATCCTTTTAAGTATCTCATGAGTCTTCTTGCAGCCTTTATGTGTGACACCCTTGATTCAATCATGTATCTGCTTAGTAATCCTACTGAGAAACCTATATCAGGTCGGCTATTACACACATATCTTAGACATTCGACAACTTGTTTGAATAAAGCTGCATCGACTGTCTTCCTCTCCATGCTTCTCCAACTTCAAGTTTGGTTGGATAGGTAAAGATGCAGTAGTTTAATCATTCATCCTGAATCTCTTGAGTATATCGTTGACATGCTTTTTTTGATGTAGCACCATACTTACTTACATACCAAGGCTACAAACAGTCTGATACTCTCCAATCTTGCGGCAAGTGCATATACTTCAGAATAGTTGAGTTCTGCTCTTTGAAGAAATCCTCGAGCTACCAATCACGCCTTATGTCTTGTTATCGACCCATCAACATTGTGCTTTAACTTGAACACCCACTTCACTTGTTAGCTTTTGTATGTGTCAGTAATTCGACTAACTGCCATGTGTTATTTCTTTCGATTGCTTCTTACTCTTCAACCATAGTAGACTTCCACTTCATATGCTTTAAAGTCTCGCTATATTCTTTAAAGTCTCACAAAAGGTAATGAAATCCCTTACGAAAGGTAAGGAGACACGGAATGGACTTATAAAAGGTAAGTGAATGGGTAATAACCGTCCTCCTTCAAAAGGTAGAGGAAAATTGCAAAGGGTATCAGAACATCATTTGACCTCACAGGCACAACAGCGAAGATGACATTCTCTGGTTATGGTGACAATTCAGTTCTTGGCCACACAGGCATCAAGCGTCTAAATTAATCGAAGATACTCAAAACAAAGTTTTTTCGCATGTAAAAGACAGTGAAGACGCTTACAAAAGGAAAGCGAAGGGATAAGATTTTGCGCAAAAGGCAGCGAGCACACCTATAAAAGGTAAGTGAGGAGATATCTTGTGCAAAAGGCACGGAAGGTCTTACAAAAGGTAAATGAAGGGGTAAATATCCAGAAAGAATCCTGACATGATGTCCATAGAGAATCGCGTCTTCGAGAACGACTGGCTAAGCATGCATATAATAATGCAGAATG